ACCTTTATTGGCTCACTGAGGGGTAGAGAAGCTTCTGCCTTTGAAATGGAGTGAGTTCTTCCAATATAATAGACAGAACTTGGCCTCGGAAAAACAAAGTCGGAACTCTGTGTTCCTCTCCTGTGCTTCTAGGTGAGGCCGGCAGCCCCCACATGCCCAGGCCCAGGCCCATGGCCTCAGATGGTTGTCTTCCTCTGTAGACAGCCCACCTTCACTAAATTACAAATGACTGGTAATAGCTTAGAAGTGCCACCTTCCCTCTGGAGAATGTTGGACCCTAAAAACAAACCAAACAGGAATGAGAATTTGCTGTGTGGTTCTGTGCCCTGAAGGGGAAGGGAGCTCAGAGGGGAGACGGGGTCTTGTTGGCCTCCAGCCATTAACAAGGCTGCTGGCCCGCCTGACAGGCAGCAGAAGCCTGCGTAAGAGCTTCATTCCGCTTTTATCTGAACAACTGGGGCAGATTCTAGAGTTCGGTAGTGGAGCCTATGGAATCCTCAGCAGCAGGATCTAAAGCTCAGTTCTTGATGAGCAGCATGTGCAAACCTGGGGGTGGCGACGCTAATAATAACAGCAGCAGGACAACATCCAAGCCACCAGCAAGGCTTCTTTGGGTCAACATATGAGGCTTTTATCGGGAAGCCTTCCACACTTGCCCCTTCTCATCCTTACATCACAGTGGTCTTCTAAAAAGGAACTCTCTTGCCTAGTATCTTTCAGAGGATTTTTTTCCACCCAGAATAAATTCCAACCAAACCCTTTCCTGTGGCCCTCAAGGCCTCTCCTAAGCCCTCATCCTTCCTCCTTCTCCTCGCTCAGACCACAAGGGACTTCTTTCGATTCCTTCAACACATCAGGCTCATGCCCACCTCCTCATCCCAATTTTGCACCACCATGTCCTCTGCCCAGGTCACTGCTGCTTGTTGTTCAGTTCTCAGCTGAAAGGGTACCTCCCCAGGGAAGACTTTTAGTGACTCTGCATCACACTTACACCAATTTACCCTGTGTTTTTCTCACTAGAATATAAGCTCAGCAAAAGCAGGGAGCTTGTCTTTTCTGTGCATCTGCAGTGTTTGTGACCCTTAGTGTAGTACATTGCATAGGATAGGTACTCAATAACCTTTAGTCCTTACAGGTCCAGGAAGTAGGTATTACTGTGGCTATTTTTCAAATGAGTCTTAGTGAGATAGCCCTGGGTTGCATTACTGTAAGTGTTCAAACCAGGATTCAAATCCTGATTGTTCCATTCTTACTGATTCTAGTGACCCAGAGTGTGTTACAGACCATGTCATGGAATTCAAAAAGCCAACATGGTTATGACTCAGCCTGACTTTTTGAACTACTGGTTTCTAGAGCATACTGTCTTCAGAGAACGATGTGGCCAGGACTAAATGTAAATCAAAGGAAAGTGGGACAAGTATAATATGTAGAGAGGGTCTCTTGAAACAAGGATATTTAAGAGTTAAAGAAGCCAAAGTACCTTAGTTACGTAAATTGACCAATGGAGTATCCTGATTATTTGTTGTGAATTGCCTTCTTTTGGGGAATGTTCCTGCTGTTTAAAGTAACTAAGACATTTTCTTTTGTTGTAAAAATAGACATTTTACCATCAACTGATGGATGGATAAAGAAAATGTAGTACATCATACAATGGAATAGTCTCCACCTACAAAAGGAATGCAGTTCTGACGCACACTACCATATGGATGAGCCTCAAAAACATTATGCTAAGCGAAAAAAGCCAGAAAAGAGATTTATGAGTACCAGGGGCTGTGGGAAGTGACTGCTTAACGCATATTTCCTTTTCGGGTGTTGAAAAAGTTTAGGGACTAGACAGTAGTGATGGCTGTGCAACATTATGAATGTACTGCTACTGAATTGTACATTTTAAAATGGTTAAAGTGGTAAATTTTACGTTATGTGTATCTTACCACAATGTAAGAAAACCCAATAGACTGGAAAATAGAAAATGATACGTTTTTCTCAGTTACATTTAGAATGCAATAAATACACATAAGTCTGGCAAAGCTTAATAAAAAAAAGGTGAAACACAAATGTACTAAATAAGAATTAGAATTATGATATGCACAGATATTTTTAAACAGATATATAATATTGAAAACCTTAACATCAACATGAACATTACCATAATGTTAATACTGAAAACCGTATCAACATTTTCTCACAAGCGGAAAAAAAGGAAAGGATGGAATGTGGCTGCTACCTCCCAGCTCGATGAGAAATATCTCCGGGCTGCTGGTGCTGGTCATGACCCAGTGGGCAGGACATGCCCAGCGTGCAAGGGCTGTTAGTTGTGTTTCAGGAATCTACTTCTGCCTCTTTCTTTAGGACATAAAAGCAAATGGCACATTACCATTGGCTCCTGGAGACATAAACAGACAATTCCCCCAGGCTGACCCTTATGCAGCTGCTTTCCTTTCCCAGCCGCGTGCTGCCCACTTAGCAGCCTCAACATTCATTAGAAGTGCAGAAAATGACTTCATCCTACTTACTGCCTGGGCTTTGCAGAAGTTGGAATGGTTCCACAGTAAATGGACTCAAGAACACATACATCCAACCATTTGAAAATTGGATGGTTGGAGAAGTCGCAAACAGGCGTTCAAGGTGCTGGCGCTGCGTGGTGTGGCTTTGCTCACTACCGATTGTGCTTCCAGCCCGGAACCACACTGATGCTCCTGTTCTTCAGATGTACAGTTGACCCTTGAACAACTTGGGGGTTAGGGGCACTGACCTCCTGCACAGTCAGCTCCCCCAGAGCTTAACTACTAATAGCCTACTGTTGACCAGAAGCCTTTCTGAGAACATCAAGTCGACTAACACCTATTTTGTATGCTATATTTATTATCTAATGTATTCTTACAAAAAGTCAGAAAAAAATTGATTTTCAAATAACCATATTTCTCCAAAAAATTTTCCATTATTGAAAAAAATCTGGGTATAAGTGGATCCATGTAGTTCAAACTCCCATTGTTCAAAAGTCAACTGTGTTTATCATCACCTCAGGCCTCTGCTCCAACTGTGCCCATCCAGAAACCATTCCCTGCCTTCCCATTTCAACCCTGCTCTTCCTCCCAGGTCCAGCTCAAGCCCTTCCTTTCTTAGGATTTATACCACACTATTTTTTGCATTTTGTTTGTGCCTAGGAATTTCACCTCCTCCAACCAGATGGCAAGTTCTCCCTGAAAGCCAGAACCTCTCCTTGTAATCGTGAGATGCCCCATGCTTGGACACTGCCCCCACTGCTGCCCTCTGCGCACCTTTGCCTTCTGGTTCTCCTTTGGAGCGGATCTGTCAGTGACTGGCTGAGGGTGAGACCTGTGAACTATGGCAGCCCCATGAGAGCCCCTAATCCTGTGGCTTTTGCATAAGATCCTGGTAAAAGACCGTCTTCTTTTCTAGTAGTTGCTAATCTAATAGGAGCTGCTGGGAACTATCATAGCCTACTCTTGGGATGCTTGTCTGAGAATAAAGCCACACAGGAAAGCACAGCCAGGAGACACAACTGTGATGGCACCGTTTGAGGCTCTGGATTGTAACCATGCTTGGCGCCAGTGCTCTTCCCGTTATGAGTGCTGGCAACTTCCCCTCTCACTGCTGGCTGGTTGCTTCCAACTGAAAGAATGCTGGTACACCTCCCAGCACTGACTGCAGGCACAGAGTAGGCACAAAACCGTATTTGTTGACTTGTTGATAGCTTGTTGATAGCTATGTCTAGAGTGGTAAAATGGGGCATTGAAAATTGTGTTGTTTTTAAATATACATAACGTTCACCATTTTAATCATTTTTAAGTGTAGAGTTCGGTGGCATTAAGTACATTCATCAGGCTGTACAACCATCACCACTTACTGTTTCCAGAACTTTTTCATCATCCCAAACAGAAATTGGGTACCGACTAAACATGAACCCCCTGCAGTGTCATCTCCCCACCCCACTGGTAAATGTTATTTTACTTTTGTATCTATGAATCTGACTAATCTAGGGACCTCAGGTAAGTGGAATCATACAGTATTTGTATTTTGTGACTGGCTTATTTCACTCAGCAGAATGTCCTCAAGATTCATCCATGTTGTAGCGCCTGTCAGAATTTTCTTCCTTCCTTCCTAAGGCTGAAGAGTATTCTGCAGGTACATACCATATTTTGTTTATCCGTTCATTCTTCAGTGGACACTTAGGTTGTTTTTGCTTTTCGGCTTTAGTGTGTGAAATCTGTTCAAGCTCCGGCTTTCAGTTCTTCTGGGCCTGCTCAGAAGTGGAATTGCTGGATCATACGGTAATCCTGTTTGACTTTTAAGAAACTGTCACACTGTTGTCCACAGTGGCTGCACCATTTTGTATTCCTTCCAACTGTGCCCTAGGGTTCCAGTGTCTCCACATCCTTGCCAGTAGTTTTTTTGTTTCCATTTTTTGGAAAATACTTAGTTTAAAGATAGAACTCTGGTAATGCTGGAAATAGACTTTATTCCATTAGCCCATCCACATGAGAAGAAAGCTGGTGAGTTAATGAAATGTGAAAGCCAGCAGCTTTGGCTTGAAACAGTTCTGTGGTCTTTGGCAGCATCATTTCATCGACGCCTGCTCTATCACTTACCAACAGGTTGGGCTCCATCTCAGTGTCAGGGATGGAAAGGCCTGTTCTAGAGTTATTGGCTGCTCCTGCTTTTCCAAGGAGGGGAGAGGGAAAGAGGCTGGACACACTTTGACTTGTGGATAACCAGTTGCCTCACCACCCACACCTACCCGTTACGGCTTTTTTTGCCTAGGATGAAGCTGTCTTTTAATCTATCCCAGAAGGTCCTCACAGAGCACAGTGACACTGCAGCACCACCCTGCCCTCAGAGCATTCCCAGTTAGGTATGTCAGCAGCTGGTGCCTTTTTACATCATCTCCCCTCCCTTGTTCCCCTAGCTATGGAAAGTTCCCACTTGAGCGCTCAGGAAAAGATGGAGGGCATGTGAAACATGAGATCTGGGAACAGGTTGCCATCTTGTAAAGGCTTTATTTCTATTTCATCATCATCTCATACAGACTCCGAGGCACCGTTCTTTGTTTCCATTTGGTATCCTCATGACTTTTTGTAGTGTTTTTCCTTAAACAAGAAAATTTTGAGTAAACACTGTATATTGCCAGTTAGTCTTTGAACAGTGACTTAAAAAATGAGTTGCTGTTTTATCATCAGTGCAAGAGGACAACAGAAGTACAGTACGAGAGAATTCACGTTATTACAGCGACAGATGACTCCCACGTAGCCATGGTGAGACCACAGTAGCAGTATGTACATGCACTCAAGTGCTTCAAACCCAAAGACATGCAAGTTGGGTAGAATACATGGATTATATGGCAAATTTGGTAAGCCCAGCTGAGGACTCTGAACCTTTTCAAAAGTGTTGACTTGTATCTCCTCCAGGATATACAATATCTGTCTACTGGTTTCATGGCTTTTTCACTACAAAAAGTTCACTGAATCAAACAGTCTGAAGCATTTCAAAAATTCTTAAAAAACAACACTGACAACATAAAATTAACCTAACACACTCTAATTCAATGTGGCAATAAACGAAACCAAAATATAACTGTGCAAATTCAACAGAGAGGCAGTCAATACTGAGAGCAATGGTATTCAGAATCCTCTTAAAATGGACATTTTTTAAACTTTTATTTTTTAAATTTATTTATATCTTATTTACCATTTTTTGTTTAATAGACTGTGTAAAAAAGATGGAGACAAAAATAGTTTTCTGAGCTATGAAAAAAATTAAGTTATTACAGGCACATTTACTGTTTCATTCTAGAAACATCTCAGGTTCACAGGTTGAACATTCAGCAGCTGCGTGTTTTTTTAAAAACATTCTTTGACCTTGGGAAAATGAGATCTCTCCTTTTGGGCAGAGTTTGGTTGATGACGACAGGGTGGTTGTGCAAATTACAGTGAATTATTCTGCGATAATCCATGCACACTTGCATCATGTCCCAGGTGCAGCTTCTCCCCAGGTGACTCCTTGTCGCCGAGCTCCTCCCTTGAGGTCCGGGCCCCCGGTGACTGAGCCAGTGAGGCAGTGGGGGAATGTGGCGCCCAGCGGGACGGAGGGCGACGGTTTGCTGGTCTCTCGGGCCTGGAGAAGCAGGGTTCTAGGGATGGAGCCAGGGCGGAACAAGGTAGTTCCTTCAAAGCAGAGAAATAGAATGACCCGGTTACTCAGACGCTTCCTCTAAGGTGCCTTCCCCCAGACACACTTCCCAACAGGCATAAGTTAAACGTAGTAGAGCTGGGGTGGGGGGACAACTTCTGAATGCTCATTTATATTTTGCTCCTGGAGAACAACTTAAAATGGTAAGTAAGGAATTCAACACAAATAATTAGTATGATAGTAATGGGAAGATACCAAAGTATGATAAAAATATGGCAATGCTGTGAGGTGGTTGTGTCTACAGAGTGCCTTCAGAATTAGGCAGGAGCATATGGAAGGTGAGGAAAGCCACGTGTGGCCTGCACAGGCTGCATGGTCATATTCTGACCTGACCAATCCTTTCCTCTTGGCCCTCCTGAGTGGCCTGTGTAGTGAGCAGCCAGCCTCCCCATGCCTTGGTCTGTTGGGAGCCCATGAAGAGACCTGTATTAGCAACAAGACTCACCTTAAACTGAATTCTGCTACTGTTTATTCCACACTGACTGGCAGTGGGTTAAACAAACTCCCACAACATGGAAAAAAGGCTGCAGGCAGAAATTTTAACTTAGGTCTAGTTTTCTTTAATGACTCGTCCTTGCAGCAGTATTTTAAAAAGTTGAATCAGTGTGGTTGTGCTTTTGTGTTACAGGCCTCCTACACCTTCTGAGAACAGGTGATGCAAGATACACTCAACCTCAGTTCCCAAAAGGCTGCTGCTCTTTTTGTGGTTCTAATGCACACTGAGCTACCTGTCCTCAGTCGCATGAAAGGAATCAAGGACACCCACACTTGGAAGATGCTGGTACACAGAAATGTGAAAAGCTGGGGTAAGAGGTAGTAATGAGCTCTACAGGGTGGAACTGTCTGCCCAAGAGACCCTCAACCAACAAAAAGCTGAGATGGTAAAACCATGGCGGTGGAGAATGACACAGAACAGGACCCTCAGGGCTAGTCTGGAAGGAAGGAGATTCAGAGAGATGTGATGAGCAACTGCAAAGACCAGTGAGGAATGGTTTTTTAGCGGAACAGTGGGGTGACAGCAGCTGTGCATATGGGTGACGTGGAGGGAGGGAGGTGGAAGGCAGAGCGTGCTGGACACAGACAGCGCTGCTGAAGATGGAGTGAGGTGGCTTCCCTGCCTCCCTGTGGGTCATTAGAAGAGGAGCATTAACACTGGAGACCAGACCACTTCTTCAAAGCCTTGGTCTCTGTGGCTGGTACTTTATGACAATGGGTAAGCCTCGATGAACAAAGTGCTTATGCTAATGGAACCATGACAAGCAGAAATTCTTTGCCTACTGAAAACACTGGGAGCCTGAAAAGAGCTGAAATGTGAGCTAACAACTAATGCAGGGGTGAGCTGCATCCTCACCTCACCTCACCCAGCCCAGTGCACCAGGGGACACATGATTTGGGCAATCTGCCACTGTTTTGTATCTTTGTATCTCTGCTCCCAATATTGTAAGAATTGTATATGTACTGTGCATGTGTGTTGTCTGAATTGTGTGTGTGTGTTGTATATGGGTGTGCATTGTATGTGTGTTGTGTTTGTTATTTGAGCTGCATGAGTGTGTGTTGTGTAGCCATCAAAATAATGGGAGCAGGTGCAGGCTGACTGGGAAAGCCTGGCTCTAAGTCCCCCACATGCTAGACCTCTGTGCCCGAGACAGTGCCCTCTGAAAGCCTATTGGCTACAAACTGCATAGGAGAGCAGGAATCTCATCAGGGTCTCCATGACCCCAGAGCCTTTCTCTGCAGTGAGCTGTCAGCACTCAGTGGGGCAACTGGGAATGTCCAAGCCAGCCACTCTGTCCTGCAGATGAGCTGCAGGCCCCACGGGCAGATGTACCTGCGATGATTCGGCCTTGTTTCTGCGTGTCAAATGCCAACCTGAGTTACGCACATGACCTGTGCAGACAGTTTGGGAGGAAGGAAGAAAGCACTTACGGCGTGAGGCGGCAGGGCTAGAGTCCCCAGGGGGCAGTTAGTAAGACAGTTTGGTTCTGGACAGAACAGACAGAGAAAGAAAAGAAAAGCAAGAAGGTTGGAAAGTGTTTTTTAAAAAGAGGAACAGTAAAAGGTTTAAAGTCAACAAGCCTGGTGGCAGTTCCAGGGTCAGCTATCAGGGGAACATGGTCCTGCAGAAATAGCAGGTGCACCCCAGGTACCCAGGCCTGCCCTCTGCATTGGTGCCTCATGACGGAACAGCTACAGACCTCTCCCCTCTGTTCTGTGATCTTCCCTGCCCTGCCCTCTGGCACTTAACATTTCAAACATCCTTTGGCGCATGAAGAAATGGAAGTCACACAACTGTGATATCTGAAACAGGGTATTAAATAGCCAGTTTGTTTCAGCCACAATCAAGCCACTGCCGCTCAACCTCAACATTCCCCATCACGTCTCCCTCTAAGAAGTGAAGACAGGCATTACATTTCCAGATTATTCCCTTTCTCTTCACACCAGAACTCCATCTCACAGCTTCTCTCAGCATTTCTGAATTGGCATGACAGCTTCAAGAGAAAAAGGGGCATAAAGAGCTTGTGGGGAGGGGGAGGAAGATGGGGAGAGGTCTTGGTGAGCACATCATAGCTAGGGATGCTCACGTGACCCCCACGTTGTGATGTCCCAGTGAACATTCAGGGGACAAAGCAACGACAGGGCACCCAGGTTGGGAAATCAGCATTAGTTCTGGAAGTGGACCTTGGAATGAAAACCCAGAACAACTACATAATATACAGGGTGATGGGAAGGGGCTTCCAGGGGGCCTATACAGCCAGTCAGTTCAGACAATTATTATTCCACTGGAATCTAGAGCAAGAAAAATTCCAAAAGAAAAGGAAAAAAGAGCCAGTGACATTTGAACACTGCCAGTAAGTGCCCTGTGCAGGTTCTGAGCCCCTGAACCTGTGCCATGCTCCCTTCAAAGTGGCCAGTCACCTCTTTTGGCACCAAACACACCAAGTAAGAAGAGAAGCTAAATAAACATTTTGCAGAGAACCAAAGCAGCGGTGGGCACAGCTTTGCATCAAAACCATTTTCATGCCTCAGAGCTGTGAGTCAAACATTAACTCATTTTCTTTCTATGATCATAGATTGCTTGGAACATTCACTGTTAGTAACTCAAAGCAATTTTTGGTTCCTGAAAATTCATTTCTATTCAGTCTGTAGTATGAATGGACAGTACAGACACACAGTCAGTCAATGCTTTGGGACAAAACCCTAATTTCAACTGATTCCTCCAGAGCCCTAAGGCAGGACATTCACACAGACAGACACTCTGCAGCAGCGGGTCACCTACCTGAGGGCCCGGGAGGGCCGGGGGTAACAGATACCTGCGAAAGACATTGGTTGTCACCTGAGAATAATCAGTCCTGGTATTTGTCCTTCTCAGACCATGTAAACACATTTACCACACAGACTCGAAGCTTCACGACATGAAGGCCCACACCATCAGTACCAGGCTGGGCCACAGGGCCTTGCCATTCCTGTAGGTCACAGACAATTTCACAGGGCTTATATTTTGAGATATAGATATATAATATAAATACTCCTTGGTGGAAAGCTCTGGGAAGCTGACCATCATCTTTCTGCCTGTGGGAAATGTAGGGCAGAAGGTGGGCCAGGTGACACAGCAAATACAACTTCCTCCTCTCCTCAAGCAAAGCGAAGGCGGTTTGGTCATGAAGAAAGCCCAGGGTGTGCCCTGCCCTCACCTCTCTCCTCTCCTCTCCGACCTGCCATCAGCTGGAGCTGCCCAACCTGCAGAATGCTATAGGCGTCCGAAGTCCACTAGTGTGGAGTTTGCTCCCCAGGGTGGGTCAGGCCTCATGCTTGGGACCCCATGGGGGCTCGCTTGCCTAGTAGGGTGTGAGCAAAGGCTGGGAAATGCATCTTTCAGCACTGCGAGAACCCTGAGGCCGACATCACCGCCAGCTTCAGCACCAGGCTTTATTTTGCTCATTCTTGAAGTGGAAATAGGACTGTTTCTTAAAGTGAGGTGGTACAAATATACTACATGTGGATACATCAGCACAGAATTCAAGGTAGACTGTTGGAGGGATATAATAGTAATTATGTAATAACGTGACAGTTTGTGTGCTCATTCATAATGTGACAATATATGTGATGTGCAAGAGGATATAATAAGGTCACATTGTATGAAGGCAGAATTTTAATCTTATCCAGGTGTCTCACCTGGTTGCATTGCCAGGGGGATCCATGGACACAGAGGGAATGTGATTTATGAGATTTAACACTCCTATTTCGTACTGAAGCCAACACTGGAGTGCAGATGCTCTCATAGGTCCTGATGAGAGATGTTCTAGTATCCAAGCTGTCAAAACTCTCTGGCATACATCTTGTGTTGGCATACATAAAGATGTGGCATGTGCAGAATGCCCTAACACAACTCTCACTCACTTCACACATACACATACCTTCCTAGGACAAAGATTCATACAGCAAAGATTCATACAGGAGGGCTAATTATAACTCCATGTGAGAAGTCCGGACAAACAGACAAGCCTCAATACAGACCGGAGAAGAGAACCCAAATCAATGCTGGGCTCCTGTAAGGAAAGCCATTCTATTGTCCTCAGGAGGTCATCAGGGACAACACATGAACTCTTCCTGCAACAGGAGCCTGGGGTTTGTGTTTCTGCCTATTCCTTCTCCAATAAATCCTTTACCTCCCCAGCTCACAAGAACCTATGATAATAAGGATTCTTGAAACCAAACAACCTGGTACAATCCCAGGTTCAAATGGGTTTTCCCGACATTTAAGGGGATGAGCTTAACCTGCATTACCTCGATGGACCCTGGCTCGGCTTTGACCGTTTCTCCCACGTGGCTGTCACTGTTAAGACTGGGGGGGCCATGGAAGGCCTGCCTTGTCTCCTCCTTGAAGGCATGCTCCAACAGCTTCTTGCTGAGGATCCTGGCCACGTTCTCAGTGAGTGTGTAGCCAGGGGGAGCAGATAAGTCCTGCCTGGCAGGCGTCCCCTCTCCCCCTTCTTCCCTACTGGTCTCTAAGCCAACCCCGTTGGGGCTGGGTGACCGTCCCCGGGAACTGGGGCTCGTTTCCTGGCCTGGGCCCAACTCAGACCGGGGTTCCGCTGAGCGTGACCGACTCCCGGCCCTCGTCCCCTTCTGGAAGGGGTCCTGCACTGCAGGGCTGTGGTCAATGATGCTGAAGAGGCTAGAGAGGCCGTCGTTGATGGCGGTGTGCACTGGGCTTTCCCGGGTGGTGGTGGAGCGGGCCCAGGCTGACTCACTGCACCCCTTCTGGGCCAGCCCCAAGGAGGTCCTATTGTTTGGCTGGTCGGCTTTGGGGAGGGGCTTCCTCTGCAGCTTGGGGGACCCATACTTAGGGGAGCAGCACGTGCGTTCAAACTTGGCCTGCACCTTCTCGATGGCAGGGGCCACCTGCCTGCTCCTAAGGCCGCGGGAGGGGGACGATGCAGGTGTGGCACCACCTCCTGCCTTTGGAGTGAGACACTTGTGGGGGCTGCTGGTGATGGCAGTGCCACGTAGGGCTTCAGTCTGCAGGCCAACGCTGATGGTCTGGACTGTCTGTGTCCCCGTTGTCCGGGAGCCATTGGTCTGGCAGGCAATGTCCTTGACCAGAGGCTCGGTGGGACCAGAGCACACAGCATTCCTGACAGAGAAGGCCACCTCCTTCATGTCATCACTCATGTTCTTGGACATCTCCAGGCTGTGCAACGGGGAAGGAAAACCCAGGGGGGTGCAGAGGGCGCCATCAAGGGGGTGGAGCCCTCCCTCCACATAGTCTCTGGCATGTCTGGTGGTGGCACAAGGCCACCTGCTAAGCACATGATCTGAGGTGCCCCCCTTTGGGTCCCCGATGGCCCCTCTGGCTCTGCTTGTGGGACAGGTGCACTCAGGCTCTGGGCGGCCCTTGCCCCCCCCACCGGCTACTACAATGCTGTCCATCCTTCGGACTGCAGGCGGGCTGTGCAACACCCGCACCCCCGCCTGCTCAGCGCACACATGGCTCCGCAGGGGCTGCTTCTGGCAGTACTCTGGGCTGGTCATGGTGTCTGTGGTCATGGTGACACTCGTGGTGAGGTACCAGGAAGAGTCAGGGAAAGGCTCGGTGCTGGCCTCATTCCCCGCTCGGCCCCCCTCGGTCCTGCCCTCCCAGGAGTCCGGGGGCCTCTTGTCCCAGCCCCAGCTCTTGCTGTTGAACTCCTCGATGTACTTGAGGTCGTCGGGAGACAGGGGTGGAGTGATGTCCTCCTTACTGCTCACAGCAGGCAGGCCTTTCTCTGGCAGGAAGGGTGAGATGTCCATCAGGCGCTGGAACTCGGACATGGAGGACACAGACACCGCCCTGGGAAAGGGGGAGAGAAGACGGTGTCAGCTGCCTGCCAGCCAGGGAGCCCACTGCCCTGTGCCCCTGCCCAGCACAGCATGTGTCCTGCCCACTAGAGAGGTGCCTGGTGGTACCAGTCTCCACCTGAGCATGGGAGCACTTTCAGCTGCTTCCTGTTCTCCACTCCTGAGCTGACTGCTCAGTGGATGCTCAGTGGACTTTTTATGGCTCTGGGATTGTTCCAGGACTTTGTATTGGTCAGAATTTCATACTGCCAACCCTCAAACACTGCAGGGATGAGCAGAAGAGGGGGTTACAAGGCAGTTGTCATTAAGCTCCAACCCACTTTGGAGTGGTTTCATGTTAGCCTGTCCATGCTCCACAGGCAGAACAGGATCTGGCTACGGCCTGGCCTTCCTACCTGTTGATGAGTACTAACCGTCCTGCTTTACGGCAGGTGCTCATGCTACAAACAGGAACACACTAGTCCCAATCCCAAACCAGCTGACGGTATGTGGTGATGGGAGGTGGAGATACAACAAAATAACTATAATCTTAAGTCTTTTTCACCCATCAGCCTCATCCTCTATTGGCTTGAAGTACTAATAATCTTCAAAGGCCAAATGGAAGATGTAGGAGAAAGGAGGGCCATGGGAGATGTAATCAGGTTGGTAATTAATTTCTAAATATCATGTAACAGAAATTCCACCTGGCCCTGCTCAGATCCATCACCAGGGCTCAGTCCTCCCCTTCCCTCTGTTCCCCCTGTATATAAAGCCAAGCCTTCTCTTTGTTCTTGCTTCTCCTGATTCCTGGACAAGAGGAAGGCTCCAGCAGATTCACACATGCACAATGGAAGGGTGAAGTCAGTGAGCTAAAGTCAGTTTGGGGTGAGCTGCTGCCTGATGGATGTGGATTTGAATATAGATTCAAATATATAGTAATGCAATATACTTTTATTTGACATGAACTTGCTGACTGCCTCCTGTAGGCCCGGCAGGCACTTTATGACATGCTGGGGATTCCAAAATGCTAAAACCGAAGGTTTCTGGGGTGCTCAGGCAGGTTGTCAGCCCAGCCAGGGCAGAGAGGTGGTGGCCCAAGAGGGAGCCCTGAGGCTGCCATACCTGGCCACTCAGACCCGGGACCCTCGGGGATTCCAGGCCAGAGGTGCAATGTGTGTAGACTCACTGTCTCTGCAACTAGACACCTGTCTTTTAGGACATACTAATATTCGCTCACCCCCAAAACAGAGATTTAAATACCTAGGGTTCTTCACCAGCACAGAGCCTGCTGAAGGGTTCCCTTCAATGCATGGACCATACCGCCCATGGACCTGTTAATGATGGTGAGGCCAGAATTGGGGATTGCGCACGACCAGGACTGGCCCAGAGAACCAGTGAAGCGTGGTGGCCTTATCCTCACCTGGGAGTATATGCTCTTGGGGTTGTCATCATGGGGTAAAACACACTGTTAGGCATTCCATCTTGTGATTTCTCACTAATGACAAAAGTCAGTGGTATTTTTTTCTTAGAAATAAGCTATAAACTGTCCAATGGTCCTCTGAATCACAGAAAGCTGGCTACAACCAACACTGGAAATAAAAGAAAACAGAAAGGATGGGTTGATCTGCCACTCGATCTTAAGCTTTTGGACAAGTGTGAGTTCCTGCTTCTCGCCTCTGGTCAAGTCAAGGAGTTGCTGAATTGAAAATGAGCTTCGGAACACTGGTCTCAGGGGGCTGGAAATGCTCTAAGGTGCCAAAACTCTGATCCTTCCCTTGGACATAGCTCTTCTTACCCATTTCTGCCCACAGAGGAATGACTTTCAAGGGCTAAATCAGTGGCAGCCAGATGGGAACTTTGTGCCTCTAGGGCTTGGATAGATATTGTAGAACACAGATAGTGTGGAAGGAGAAAGGAGAGGCAGCAACCTTAGCAGTGGTCAAAGAAAAACAAAACAGTAAGTACGAAAGCCAGGATACATGCGCAACATGCACAGGTGTGCAAAGAGGCAAAGAAGAGAGTATGGAGGGAACACAGGGAACTGCTAGAAGCAAGAAGAACAGAGGGTGGTGGAGAGCACACAGGCACTGTTTTGCATTGGGCATTCTGATGTTTAAATTTTACAAGTAAGGATTACTTTGTGAAATGAACAGAAGCAATTAGGATAAAAAATAATGAATCATTACAGGGCAGAGGAGGTCTCCTAGGAAAGAAAGAAAAGGGGGAGGATGTAATGATAGCTGTACTTTGTTTACTGTTTATTCTATGCCAGGCATTGCTTTGTTTTATGTGTATTAACACATTTAGGCTGTTAACAAATCTAAACACCTCCTGTTTACAGATGAGGAGAGTGAAGGCACAAAGCAGATACATAACTCACCCATGGTCACATGGCTTGAGAGAGGAGGAAGTGGATTTGAAATCAGACCACATGGGTCTAGAATCCAAGCTCTCAGGTGCTGCCTGGTCCTGCCTAAGAACGACCAGACCAGAAGCCTGGAGGATAGAACATACCCTAAGCCATCCTAGGTTTGGGATACATCCAATAAAAGGCAAACTGGGAAGGGGACAGTAATTCATAGACTCGAAATTCACTGGATAACCAGGAATGGGAAGATCTGAAAACTGTGGATTGCCTGGAGGAGAAGCTTCATGTAGTGGGAAGGTGAGTGTTCACCTATAAAGAAGAAGTGTGTTATGTATGGGCTTGGTGGGGAGCAGGGCTAGCATATGGCAAATCTCTGTACTCTTCACTCACTAATTTTTTTTAATGTTTGATTTAAACAAATTTGCTTACATGTACCTTTTCAGACACATCCCCTCATACAGATGACCTAAAATAAGTGATTACTAATTAACATCAACTACTTCATATTTATTTCAAGGGTTACTGCCAGAAAATATTTTAATAAATCCCCCTAGCAGAGCTTTTAAATGCACAATATATAAAATGTCTCACTGCATGTCAAGAGGAAGGTTTTCCAGACTTTCAATTAGAAGAGAGAGGTTTCCATGGACTTTTCAAAAACCATGTAACACAATCACTCTTTATACACACAACACACAATACACAACAGTAACTACAACATTCTTGCCATAACATTAATACCCACATGAACACAGCGTGTCTCTGGCCTTTTTATTGCTAGTAATAAAAAAACCATATTTTTGAAATTAATAATAATAAAGCAACTACTTGTTCAGAAGTCTTATTTTAAATCATCTTGGAAAGAGGGTGATAATAGACTGAAGTGACAGGGTGGAATTTTAAGACCAAGAGGCTCTAGTTCAGTAGGTCTATGACTGTTTTCATCAATCTCACTCACCTTTGTAGATTTCCCTTGTGGTTTTCTTCTTCCTACAAAAAAGAAATAAATTTGTCTGAATCAGTGAATATTGGCTGCCTGGGAGCCTTTATGTGCTGAGTGATTTGTTCTGCAGTTCTGCCTGTGGAAAATACCATTTAAAATGTACATGAAAGCCCAGGTTTGGGCCAGGAGTGTTACTGTCCATCAGCCCTTTGAAGCACAATAATCAAAAGAAAATCCATGGTATGATGAGGGCTGGAGCTTCTGCAGTCCAGGGAGGAGCCCACATGAGGGAGAAAAACTGGCTAGAATCTTAGTCATGGAGGCAATGGCACTCCTGGGCTGCCTCAGAGACTTCACTGACCACTTGGATTCCAAAACCAGCTTTTGTAATGACCTGAATACAGGTGACTGTGTGTGTGCATGCATGAGGGTGGGGGGGTGGGGGGGGAGAGAGAGAGAGAGAGAGAAGTAGGAGGGGGAGGGGAAGATGCGGGTGACAGGGTAAGTTGGGAGACTGATGTCCCTTGGTCTAAGCCTCGCTCCAGAAGTTGGAGTGACATCTCAAACTTAGAGTGCTTTCTTGGTTGTCTTGAGAAAATGCCCTCATGCTGGCATGGTATTAAAAGAGAGGCAAGGAGCCTAGCAAGCCTTTGCTGGAAATTTATTCCTCTACACAGTGAATAGCCTGGTAGACTTCCCCTTCATCTCTGCCATGCATGGGTCTGGGCCCCTGTGGGGCTGGGACTGGGACAGGATTTCTCTCTGCCAAGAAAATGGGTCATATCAGATTGTCAGCAGATCAGATGGGGTGGCCTGTTGGTGAAGTCATATCAACTGGGTGCACATGATTCCAGAGACGGCACCCGACTTCACTGACACCCAACCCAAGTATAATTTCCCCACACTTCAGCCACACTACTTGATGTGAAATCTTCTGAAGTCTCCTGCGTGTTTGCAATAGGTTAAATGACAGGTACAGCAACTGTTAAATTGACTCACAGGCTATGATTCCTGAAATCAATTTTTAAAACCCAGTTTTAAAAAGAGCATAACCAGCTGGTGCGAATGTAAACTACTTCAACCATTGTGGAAAGCACTATGGAGGTTCCTCAAAAAACTAAAAATAGAACTACCATTTCACCCGGGAATCCCAGTCCTTGGAATTTACCCAAAGAAAACAACTTCTCAGATTCAAAAAGATATATGCACCCCTATGTTTATCGCTGTACTATTTACAATAGCCAAGATATGGAAGCAACCTAAGTGTCCATCAGTAGATGAATGGATAAAGAAGATGTGGTACATATACACAATGGAATACTATTCAGCCATAAGAAATAAATAAATCCTACCATTTGCAACAACATGGATGGAGCTAGAGGGTATTATGCTCAGTGAAATAAGTCAGATAGAGAAAGACAAATACCAAATGATTTCCCTCATTTGTGGAGTATAATAACGAAGCAAAACTGAAGGGACAAAATAGCAGCAGACTCACAGACTCTAAGAAGGGACTAGTGGTTATCAAAGGGGAAGGATGTGGGAGGGCAAGCAGGGAGGGAGGGAGAAGGGGATTATGGGGTATTGTGATTGGTGCACATGGTGTGTGCGGCATCATGGGGAAAACAGTGTAGCTCAGAGAAAACAAATAGGGACTCTGTGGCATCTTACCACACTGATGGACAGTGACTGTAATGGGGTATGAGAGGGAACTCAATAATAAGGATGAATGTAACAACTACATTGTTTTTCTTGTGAAACCTTCATAAAAGTGTGTATCAATGATATATTAATAAAAAAAATTAAAAAAGAAAAAGCTTAACCAGGAAAACCTAGCATTGTGCCATGGAAATTTCAGCACAGAGCTTAACTCACCTATTTGCCAATCCAATTTATGTAAGGCTTGTAAGTGTTGGGTATTTTCCACTTTGTACAGAATAAAGTATTTATAGTATGTCATTGTTTAGTGACACATGTTATTTCTAAATGGGAGGTATTTTTTAAAACAATGTTTTGTGTTATTAATAAGTTTTCTAGAATCAGAAGACTTTGTTATGATTTTAAGAAAAGTTGAAGATCTGAACTTCCTAGAGTGACTTATTCTCCCTTGTGTGCTTCACTGGACAGGCCCATTTGTGAGGCCTTTCCATTTCCATAGGACACAGTCCTGCGTTTCCAACCTGGAGAAGGTGGCAGAGTGAAACTGACTACAGAGCATACAGGAGTTTGGGCTCAGGACCACCAAGGACAGCTCTTGGCATTGTAAAGGTTTCATTTGGCTCAACCCAAAGGCTGCTATATGCAAAGCCCAGGGGCCTGCAGCCATGTGGCGGGCTTCCTGACAACCCCTGGGCACTGCAGTAACCAAGCGGGTGGGCACCCAGGCCCACCTGGGGAAGGAGGCTCCTGAGCTCCATCTGGGGCCCGCGGCCCAAGGGCTCCTCTGCCTCGTCGTCCAGGGACAGGGCGTCCAAGTAGAGGTTCTCCCGGGCCGAGCACCTGTCTGATTCCTGCAGCTTGGACAGTGGCCGCTCTTCAAATGGGGTGGAGTCAGCATCCATACAGGGCCACATCCCCACAGCATGGGGCATGCAGGGGCTTCCCGGGTGCGCAAAGGGATGGATGTTGCCTTCTTTTTGATCACAGAGGAAACTGCCACTTCTCCTCGGACTGTTTTCTTTCTGCAACTGGAGGGTTTTAAGAATGAAAACCATTAGCCTCACTTTTCTGTCTGTTGCTCTCCCTAAGATCATGGTTTTTCTGCAATTTGGAGTTACATGTGGGTCCATCTGAAAGACTGGGAGAAGTAAATGTTCTTGGAGTTCTGACCTGAATTTTACAAGTTGTGTGATACTACAAATGCTTTAAAAAAATATCAAAATTTTATCTGAACTTGGGAAATCTGCATTAACCACACAGAAGCCAGCTCCTTCCAACAATATATATGTTACTGTACATAACTTTGACTACTGTACTCCCAGGAAATTATATGTTATCTTTTAAAAATCTAACACTGTTAAATTACATATTTAGAACTCTCTTTTGTAATTACCATTAGAACTTAAGGCACACTCAAGGGAAAACCAGCAGTGACAGCAAATTTCTGAGGGTGAATCTGATTTTCCTAACTAGCAGAGTTTCCTAATAGTAACACGATTATTTCCAAATCAAGCGATCAAATGGGGTCATAACCATTTGTGGGGAAAATGGAAGTCCTTATAGTCAGGATCATCACCTGGCCCTAAACTACTTGATGATGTAACTGGCCTACTGCTAGGCTACTGCTTCCACACTCATAGCCAAGCTACTATGGGCTGAGTCACTATATAAAGAGCTCTGCCCAGTGCTCTGGGCAGAGGCAGAGATGGAGGTGGATTACAGACCTTCAGACCACTGAATGCAGACATGATTCTAGTGCTTGACCTACTCCCATGAAAAAGAAGCTGGGTATAAACACTTTTACCCCAAGAATGTTCCATTGTCATTTCTTGGACTCACTGAATCCATACTGAACCATCCCAGGGCTGAAACCCTCAGAGACAATTGGCATAGTTGGCAGGATTCCTGGTAGACTGAAGATTGGAACAGGCTGCCCTCATGGGAGGGCTGCTTCAGCAGCTGCTCCTATTGATGGGGAGACAGTCGAGTGTCCCCCAGTGGGCATGAAGGCTGAGGTGGCTTGCCTCCTAGAGGACTGGGTCGCTCCCCAGGACTGGGGGCAGATGGAGGTGATGTCTGGGGCAGCAGAGGTGGTAAGGAGGTCCTTTGAAAAACAGAGTGCCTACAAGGTGGGAATTGAGGTGGGTTGGCTGTTTCTCACAGTATTAAAAAAGGCTACAGATGAGAGGAACATGCTCTTGCAAGAGACATGAAAAATGGCAGCATGAGTAAGCAAGCTGTGAAGTGCTATGGATTTGTTGAAGAATGAAATGGCATTGATACGAGAGCAGGCAGTATGAGAATGTGAGCTGTGAGGTGCTGTGGAGGAAGTAAAAGGTATGTGAGAAAATGAAATGGTGTTTCTGCAAGGCAGTGTGGGAACAGTAAAGGGTGTAGCAGAGGAGGCACTCAGAGGAGTGGTGAGAAAGGTGCCCTCAGCCCCAAAAATGGTGGAGGAGCTGGGGGATACGGAAGTTCCTATGGCCTATCTACCACTGAAATTCCTATCTACTGCTGTGAGAATAAGGCTGGGTATAAACCCTTTCACCTCAAAGGTATTGCATTGTCATTTCTCAGTCTTACTGAATCCACAGTGAACCAGCCGGGAGCTGAAACGCTCAGGCAAGATACCACGGAGTGTCAAAAATCACTTACATTTTGCCTGAGAGAACTAAAACTTAGCACTAAAGGTAAAGATCTGGTATGACTTAAAAAAAATTTAAATAAGCCAAATACTTCAGAGTCAGACTGTTTCTGTCTGACTTAGTAAACTCAAGAAGTGGTAGTGGGGAAAACACAGCACCACCTGGAGTCAGGAAGACCTGAGTCAGAACCAGTGTTGGTGGTTTGCTGCTTGGCTAACGGGTGAAGTGCCCAACGCTACTCAGCTTGGTTTCCTCATCTGTAAAATGGGGATAGCACACCTCCCTTCCTCGGGACCACAGGCAAGGGGAGCCCAGCAGGGGCCCAGCCCCTTGTAAGGCTCACTGTTGGACAGGAAACCACTACTGACTTCCCTCAGACCTGCCCTCTTCCTGCTGACACACACCTGCCTTATTTATCCCATTAGAATCAGAGGATGTACAGTCTGTTCAGGGAGCCACTGTGAAATCACAGGAAAATGGTGTGCAGGGTGGACACTCCCTCCTCAGTGAAGGCCTCATGGACTGCTCCCCCTCAGCTCTCCTGAGCTTTCCTCACTGCCTCCCTTTCAAGGAAGAGGATGAGCTGAGGATGTTCCCACCTATGTATCATTAATGGGGTCTTTACCAGCACACACGCTCATGCACTCTACCTGTTGGCTGCTCTTTTAAAAAAGTAAATTATCTGAATGACTAAGGTGACATTTGGATTTGTCCTGAAGGGGTGACAGAAGAAGGGGTGTCAAGTGCTGAGACAGTGCCAGAAAGTTTTAAAACTTTCTGACAAGCACATCAATTTATTTTTTAACAAAGCATCTTTCACAAACTACACCGTTGTGTCCTAATTTAAACCTTCATCTCTGAGTTGGAGATCAGTGTGGCCCATGTGTCATCAGGAACAAAGCCATGTGAAATAATGGGGACAAAGCACTTTTACTCATTTTTAGTAATTTCTGAGGTGTGGAACAAAGGTCGCAAGAGTATTATCTTTGTTGCCGAGAAAGACGGAGATTCAAGCAGCCAGATCTTAAGTGTTAGAGTCTGAAGCAGGGTCACGGTTAAATCAGGGAACAAGCAAGTCACTCTGGGTCTCAGTCCCCCTCCCCAGTGACACAGTTCTTCTCACTTCTCCTAAAGATGTTAAATGCCTTCTTTAAAAAAGAAAACAAAAAGGAAGGCCTTTTATTATGCTCATCTAATGCATGTCAGCACAATTTAGTTTCAACACGTGATCATCTCCAAGCTATTCTGGGCAAGGAATTAAAATTCAAGAATCACATTTGAAGCTGTAAATGTGCACCGAGGGTGTGTGTGAAGGAGGACAGAATGGCTAAGGAGGAGATCTTCAAACAAGCACAGTCTAACTCAGTAAAGTGGGATTTCAAAAATAAACCCAGGCAGCCAGGAGCAATGTGCTCTCAAGCTGGTAAGTGTTAGGTATCCTAAAAATGAACTAGAATGGTTTTAGCTGGAATTATCTGTTGCTAAGATGCCTCTGGGATGTTGTAATAGAATAATGGGTCCTTAAAAGGATAAGGTTTCGGAGGAGAGTCACTTCAAAACCGGGCACCAGCATCTACTGTACTTAGAAGCCTGCAGTAGAACAACTTTTAATGCAAATAGAATATTTTAAAGATTTACATTTCAAATAATAGAGAAAACAAAAACTCTTAACAGTGTCACCTCACCTGAACTGGTCGAAAGACAAAAGGTCACTGTGTGAACGGGTTTTAAAAGAATGGCCTTTCATGCTGTGGAGGCAACTGCTTGCAGAAGCTACTGGAAGCAGAACGGAATGCCACATGAGCTTTCCTTTAGCTCTTCAGGACAAAGGCAAGTCCTCTATTATCCGTGTATTAACTGGGAACTTAACAGTTCTAAGGAGAAGTGTAATGTGATTCCATAAAATTAACTATGATCCAATTAAATTTGGATTGAGACAAGAGATGTTGATAAGACAGATGATTTGTGTCATATGACCTCAGCCACATTCCCACAGTCATTCATCATATAAAATACCTCATGTGGCACAGAAATTATGTAGGAATTTAACAACACCAGACAAGTATGAAGCATGTGTTCTGAAAGTGGAAAATGGATTTAGTGTTACTTCCTTCACCATCTATATTAAGTTATCATAGTCAAGGTTACATAGCTCACCAAGTAATCAAATATCAAGAACATATGTTATGAAAAATGTTCACCTATATTTTTTACTTATCTATGGAATATGTAGGTAAAGTTAAATGAATGAGCAACCCACTTACTGATAAAATCTACACACACTCACATACATACTTCAGCCAATTCACAGAAAACGCCTATAACTGCTTTACCTATTTTTCAGGACTGGGCACAGAGATATATAAATCTTCTTTGAAAATGTCAAATACTTTGAGGAAAAGGCCAGGTTTATTTTGGAAAGCCACAGTTGTGTATCTGAAGCATCATTCACTGGCAACAAATCCTCTTCTGAAAACAGCAGTGGGACTGTACACAGCCTGTGGGATCCCACCACACAGATTTCAGAAGCAGATGAATGCCCAGAACCCATGTGTCTCAAATCCATTATGCTTTAAGAAGTTAACCTTGAAGACTGAAGTTCTGAGGCGAACAGCTTGGTAGAACTGTTGCAGTACAGAAATTTGGAAATGGGGTTCAGCTCTTGCCTACTCCTACCTTTTCAAAATAAAGTCTTAAAATGAGGCAACTGCTTACCCCTGGGTCATTAGCTCTTTGAATGTATATATCATTGGACGTCTTACTCATTTTTCCTTTACTAGAAATTTTTCATTCTTGAAAGTAAAATTTCTCATTCCTAAAAGACTTGCTTAACTTATACCCAAGATGAAGCCATGACAAGACTAACAAGCTTGCAGCTACCAAGCATAGGGGGCCCTGGAAGGGCCGTGGCAGGGAACCTTGGACAGCCCTCCTGGGGTATGGGAGGGGCGGAGTGAGTGATCCTGGAGGGCAGGCCACGAGGGAGCCTTCCTGACAGCAAGGCGCCTGTGGTCACTGTGACATTGGTTAGCTAAGTTAGAGATGATAAGGTTGTGACCATTTCGTAAGAAGACATGCTACTTAGGCCCCTACCATCCCATCTAGCAACTGATCCGTTCAATAGAGCACAGGCACAGGGAATCTCACACAGAAGATTCTTCTCAAGTGCACCAATTTTAGGCCAAACAGGAAGTGGCCAGCTCTCCTTTGATAGGATTCAGAGAATCTTGAAATAAGCTACATCACATTTCAGTGCAGTGACCAGAGTGTGAGTAATCTACCCGGGAAGGTTCAGCTCCCTCCTCTCTGCAGGGTAGTCTTCTTCTCAGTGGTTTCTGAGCCAACTCTCTGGGTCTCTTTCACTTTCTTCTCCCCCCTTAGTCCCCAACAGGACACAGAAGCTAACCGTGGCCTAACACAGGAGCCATTTCTGGGAAAAATAGAGCATTTTCAAAAGGCTCCTACATAAATACAGGCAGTGGAGGTTATTTTTCCCAAACTCAGTTTCTTATTAATACATTTCCTTGAGACCTCATGAATTTGTAGTATGACAGAGTGAAATAAAGAAAATGTAGGCTATGTTCATCTTCCTACACAGATAGACAGTGGCTGCAAGGGGGGTGGAGGCTTGATGATATGGGGGAATGTTGAAACCATAATGCTGTTCATGTGAAACCTTCATATGATTGTATATCAATGATACCTTAATTAAAAAAAAAGAAAGTGTAGGCTATGTAAAAATCCAGCCAGGGAAGAATTCCAAATTTCCATCAATTTAATGTGAAAATTGAATTTGTGCATCACTCAGACATGATCGCAACTCTGCAAACTGTCCTTAAGTCTGACAAAATGCTGAGAACGATTATCTGGGCAGAAAAACAACTCCCTTTCTTTCCCTGAATTCATCTGAGTTTTGGAATCATTTGTTTGGCTGAAGATGATGAATTACCAGCAATCTCCCCCGACTATGGTCCTATCTAACCACAGCTCAGTGATAGCTACAGCAGGTGCAAACGGCCTGGCTTCCTACTTAGTTCAGCAATTTCTTTACTAATGGACCACATTCCATTCATTCAAGCTGGAGCAGTCACTGTGACCACATCTTTAGTGGCAAACTTTAAAATTAGTTTGCTTTTTTGGTAGAAATTATAAGACCTGAAATAACCTCATCTCTCAAATTTAGCCTTTGAATTCCTTTACAAAGTTACTCGTCACCCCGACCACAGATACATCACACACAGACACACACAGGGAAGTTACCTACACACTTTGTAATTAGAAGATCTGTGTAATGGAAGGGCTGAGCCTAGATGTCTAATGCTAGAAATGCTAGTATTTCTTCCACTTGCTCTGAAAGCCCATCATCATCCTGATGCAGCAAGGACGTCTGAGCAGCCTGATTTTCCTTCCTCCAGGTGCTCTGCTTTCCAGGCCAGCTTTGTTGTGCCCACTGTCCTCTGGCGCCTGTGTGCCTCCTTACCTGCTCTATTCTCCACAAGAGTTCCTGCTTCTGCTGCTCCCACTCCTGCCGGTCTCTGTCCAGGCGGTCCAGAAGCTCCACCTTCTCCCGCTTCCAGTTCTTCTCGCTGTGGTGGATCTGCCAGCGCAGGTCCATGACGAGGCCATGACTGTCAGCAAGGAGCTGCTGGTGCTTCTCCCTCTCCTTCCCTAATGCTCTTCTGCTGTCAGCGGGGGAGTATGGTTCTCCCAAGTTTTTCCCCGTATTCTCCTCCAGCTGTCAAGGAGAACAGGCTTAGGAACTTTATCCCTCAAAAGTCTTGCATTCGTAGGTGAAGAAAAATCTCGGCACATCTACACAGTATCCCGGAAAACAAGACTATAACAAGATTTGACCAATCCCAACAGTTTGCATTTTTAAGGCCTTAATTCCAAACATTTGACACAGAGAGTAACGCAGAATGTTCAGCAATGAGTCCACCTAGCTTGACACAGCTGCTTCTCAGTTCCCCTTCCCTACTCTGAGTCACCACCACCTCTTGCCTGTCCTTCTGCCATGCTTCTTGAGGGCTCAGGTACATGTCTATCCTTATACCCTTAGCCCCTATATGCAAGCCTGTGATAGGGCAGTGATGGAACCTAGCAGTTTACTATAGATATCTGTCAAACACTGAGGAGGTTAAATACCCAAAACAAACAGGCAAAAAACTCCCATCTAGATATATCATATTCAAACTGCTGAAAACCAGAGGAAACTTTAGAGGCAGACAGAGAAAAAAGACACATCACACATGGAGACCCAAAGATAAGAATGACAGCAGACCTTTCCTCAGAAACCATGCCAGTCAGAGGACAATATTGCAACAGCTTTAAAGGGCTGACAGGGGATATAACAACTTCAATACTCAGCAACAGTATCATTCCAAAACAACCAAAAAAATACCTTTTCAACAAATGAAAATTGAAAAAAAATCATTGCAACTTTTTTCCTATTTTTAATTGCTTTAAAATATCACTGAAGGTGTAGAGTAAAATAGCTGCAAAGTAACGTGTGTTCATAGAGTGTGTAGATGTAAACTGCATGACAACAAAAGCACAGAAGACAGGAGGATGGAATTGGGAGTGTATTACTGCTGGAGAACATGACAAATTTTAGTGAAAGATTGGAGAACATAAAGATGTACCTTTTTCCTATTCTAGTTCAGTAGATCCCTGAATTCTACCTGTGGACCTAATTAATCCATTCAATTCTAATGGCTCTGAATCCATTCTCTACCTTGAAGCCAAAATATCCTCTTTAAAATGCAAATCAAAATGCTTTACTTCCATGATAAAATGAGGATTAAGGTTTTAGTTGTTTGAACATTCTTCCTCCCACCAACCTGACTAGGTCCAGCATCTCAGGTGTGCCATGCTCCTTTCTTCATGATGCTCCTTTTTTGTCTGAATGTCCTCTGTCTTCCTTCCCATGTCCCCATTCCTATTCATGCCCCAAGATTCATTCTGAGCAGGATTTTTACCGACAACTCTTCCATGAACCCTCAAGGCGAAGCGTGCACCCTGCATACCCCCCATTCACCAACAGTGCAGTGTGCAGGCCTGGCACTGATCACACTACTGTAATTATAGCCCCTGTCTGGGTGTCCCACTGCATCGAGACCCCCCCTCAAGAAATATCTTACTCACTGCTGCAACCTTGGCATTGAGAACAAGGTCTTACTTGGGAGTCAATTGAAGGGACCATGGATCTGGGAATTGACACAACTGTGGGTCCCAAGAAGAGATATTACTTAACTTCTGAAAGAATTAAACTGTTCTGCTTTAAAGCAGAAGAGGGTAAAGATGGGACTATTATAAATGAACTAGCATCAGCTTACAGTCACTGCTTCCTGGGCTGCAAATATTTTAAAAACTTCTGAAATGATTTGGGGATAAGATGAATCTTTTGCCTCATACCACCCAGCTTCTAGGTTTGAAGTCCTAGCTTTCTTTCTTGGTGTTTAGTGACTCTCCTTGAAGATTTATTTGTAGCAAATGTGTGGGTAGATAGCAGGCTCCTCTAAAACAAAGATGAAATGTTTTGAAATTGGCTCACATCCAAGATTATGCGTCCTTTCTTTAGCTACACTTATGTCTTTGAAAATATTTAGCTTTTTCCCCCATAAACATATTTTTAAACAGGTTTAAAGGCAGCTCATCAGAGAGTGTCCTTACTCATTTCTCCTTCACTGTTGACTCTTCAGGCTGTTTACTAAGATAAACAGGGCCTCTCGAAGGACTCTCCCACCAGGCAGTCAGTAGGAGCCATAACTGGGGCAGCAGTTCCAGTGCCTGGCCTGGAACTTCGGTTTTGCTATGCTCTGCCGCCTCTTCTGCAGAGAAGGCTGGGTACGCTGCTCTACCAGGGCTGTGAGCCTGCCACCACCATGTCCATAGGCCAGGTGGTAATACAGGGAACCTGTGGGTACCAGGGGAGCTGTTTTCTTTCGACATGACAGGCCCTTTCATGTTTCATCAAGGCCATTTGGAAGGTGTCTCCTTTCTGGGCAATGGTTTTCTTTCATGGGTGAGCCAATTCATATAAAATTTTAATTACTTGATGATTTGCCTCAAAATAGGGCCTAGAAAACAGATTATCAAAGATGCACAGACCTTTTCTCCCTCACTGTGATCAAGGGGCTGGAAGAAACCTGGAGAAACTGTCTGAGCAAGCAGACCCTGGGCAGAAGTGACATTGCTCTCAAGGATTTCCAGGGGGAAAACACTTGGAAAGGAACGTTTCTGGCCAAGTCTGATCTTAACAACCATGGCCACGGTCTACAGTCTCCTAGGAGGCTGTGCTGGGAGGGTGCAGGCAGGAAGCTGCCCTCCACTTAAGCACTAAAGGCTCTGTGCTCTGACAGCAGCCCGTGCTGGGCTTCCACTTCCTTCAGTATAAACAAGGACACCAAAATGCATCAGACTTCCAGGGCATGTGGTGGAAGGTCTACAGGCTCTTTTTAGAATTTGGAAAAATCTAAGGGAAAGCCTGTGTTTACCTTCTCAGAGATAACCAAATTTGCCTTTTCTTTTCTCCTGTATGAATCAAATCAGATCTATGCTTCATGCTGGCCATCCTTCGAAGGGGCGGAATACAATCTTGCTCAATATAGAATGGTAAACTAAATGCTGCTTTAGAAAAGATGCTCGGTGGATGAAGACTGTTTCATACTTGGGAGAGGGAATATGAGGGAAAGAAGGCACCTTGGAAAGGCTGGGAGCTTCAAGGAGAGCCAGCACGCAGCTGCTCCTGGCTTTCACCTTGGAGCCCTCCCTCCCTTAGAGAGTGTCACTGTGGATCTGAGTCACCACGTCTCCTCCATGCCTGTCCCCAGTGACAGAGACCCTGCGGGCAGAGCAGGGAGGCTCATGGGGAGGCACCTGTTCCAGGCGGCACTTGAGCGCGGCCCACTCCACGTCCCAGGCCGCCTTGTCGCTGGCATATTGCTGCTGCAGCCGCAGCCGGGCGAGCTCGTCCTCCCGCAGCTCCACGCGCAAGTCCTCCAGCAGGGTCCTGAGTGCCCCGAACAGCTTCCGGCTCTCCACCACCTGTGGGGACACAGGAGTCAGCACTGCTACCTCATGCAACAGTGTTTTTTAGGTCTGAGGAGGAGAGGAGCCTAGCAATCAAGGTGATGCCCAGCTGTTTCCAAGGTGAGCAATGGGAACAGAGCAGGTGGGAAGCCTGCGCAGTTGGTGAGAGGCCTGGGGCCCCCACCAGCCACCAGTCTCAGGGCTGAGACTGTTAAGGGCCTGTTGGGATAGAACAGAGGCTGGAACTCAGGTTGGCCCTACAGGAACTTGGAGCAGGAGTGCCTGGGCGAGGAAGAGAAGGGAGGAAGCTTCAGGAGGCCACCAGCTCCTGAGTTCACATGTCCAAAGCTCTGGTTAGGGATGCAGATTTAACAAGATAAAAACACTCCCCAATGTATGCTGCCATTTTAATGCCACCTATTGAACCAGAAGAGAAACAATAAAGGCCTCATGTCTCTTATAAACCAGGGTATTCACACTTTGACTTGCAGTTACTAAGAGGTCACACATATAATGACAAGCATAACAATGGATGAGGGAGGATTTTGAGGTTTAATAATTAAAGCCAAAGGTAAATTCTTAATCTGTTCATGAAGGCTTCCTTGTGATCCCCCGAGATAAAATCACTGGCCCCTTGTTCCATGTCACTAGCAACATGAATAACCAGGCACCAACTTATTTTTCTGGCGGCCACCAGAGCAAGTGCCCTGGGAGGGGCAAAGTCTGACCCCCCATTTCCAGTACTTCACAGCATGTTCAGCTCATGTGAGCTATACAAACAGGTCTGATAGATAAAGAATGGATTTTTATTATTAATCTACCTATATTACTTAAAAGATTTTATATTTTCTAAACCCTGTTGGCTTTGGGAGGCACATTTCAAAACCACAATTGCTATCTTCATAAGTTTCAGCATGGTCATTATATCAGAAAGGTTTGTCCAAATGAATTAAACCCATTGAATCACATATGGTACCTGGGTAATTAAAAACCACATGGGCCCATCTATTCTGATCAGACAGAAAACACTAAAGTTCCTCACAGGCTCTCAGACTGGCCTAAGGGCAATCTTGTTTGGTACATTTATGAGGAAGGAGGGAGAAATACTCTCCCAGTCCTGAAGATGGATGCAGATGGTCTCTACTATGGGAAGACAGATCCCCTTCCTCCCAGATGGAATCCCTCTACTTGATAAGCCTCTCATGCCAAGGGCAGCAAGGAGAGAGTGCCCGCAGTGCCCGAGCTTGGGATCTGCACCCACATCAGCCTCATCTCCTCCACCAAGTGGAGAGTCAGTTGTGCTTCTTAAAACCCTCTAGTCAATCTGTTAAGCACACACATGTACACATCCAAAATGGCCTCCACATTTGGGAAGAATTTAAAATACTTTGGATATATGTTTGGACTTAAATAAAGTTGATTTAGAAAGGAAAAGAGAAATTCCATAACATGAGCAGATTTATAACTGAAAATTCCATAGTTTTCTCCTGAAATATGTATCTGAAGTTATATTAGGTATAGTAGACTTTTGATTCAGTAGAAAGGCCTGTTTGTTAATATTTATTGCTTTGTAATGTTTGTCACCTTGAACACCAATTTTTACTTTAATAGATCTGAGTTGAAAAGCATTAAGAGTACAATTCAGCTAACATTTGCAAAACTCAGCAGATAGAGGACCTTCTAAAAATCCTATACATTCTTTCCAGCCATCTGACTATATGTAAATCACCACTATACTCAAAGAGATGCTTATGAAATACATGAAATTGTAATTAACACAGAAGTGTTTCTTTAAACTCTACAACATAAGTATTTAAAAATTATGTGAGTGAAAAATTAGGTGAGAAAAGGTATAATGATCTTTTCAGAAATACACATCCTCTTAAGTATAGAATGTGTTTGCTGAAAAATTATGCTTATTTTATGGTACATTCATTTGGTATTTTTATCTTTGGATTTAAAATTTTTAAATGACTACTTTTTAAGTCAAACTATTTTAAGCAAATAGTAGTGGCAATAATTTTGATGTAGTCTTTGAGGTAGTCATCTAATTTTCACTTAAGAAAAAGTAGAAAGCCACATAACTCTTGTAGGTAATGAATAGCTCTCTATGACCATGCCCAAGCTCCATATGTGGTCAGTCTGCAGAGGTCTTAGCTTTACACCAAACGGGTATGACAGTTTTAGGATCAGAAGAACTTTGGGCCCCTCCAATGCAGGGGTTCACATGACAGTCCTTTTGCAGATGGAAAATTTGGTTCATCTGGAAATAAGTACTTTTTGTCATTAGCAAATACCAGATTAAATAAAATTAAGTCTTAATGTTTTCATGCACATTTGGGTCAGAATAATTAACATACTGTCTTCTTATACCAGTATAATGTTACTTTTATGGAATGAGCTCAAAAATTGCTTTGGGGCCAGAGGATTAAAGATGGTGGCATGAGAGGTGAGACAGAGGCTTCCTCCTAAAATCGCATATAATACAAAAATATAATTAATGCAACTAATCCTAAAAAGCAACAGGAAAGAGGACTGCACCAGACTGAATACACCTGGAGAAAAGAGCAGACTTCACAGAACAGGGTAACGTACCAAAGCTGTGGCCTGGTGGGACCAAAGCCCTTCCCCAACCCCAGCTCACCAGCAGGAGGAAGAGAAATGGAGCGGGGAGGGAGAGATGGTCTGTGACTGCTGAATACCTAACTCCAGAGATCGGCTCTGGGAGCACAAACCTACATTTGATGGTGCTTGCATGATACTCTTCATGATTAGGGGATTGGAAAGCTAAGACAGGCAGAATTCCTGGAGAGACTGAGATTCCACCTGCTTGTGGAAAACAGGGATCCATATCCTGATGCTCTGGGACAAAAGAAACCCAGGCAGTCTGAGAGACTTTATAACAAGGAAGGCCTTAGCAAGAGGGCTGCTAAAGGGGCAAGGATTGTACAGAGCTTACTGCTCAGGAGAAAGGAGAGGGAGACAAAATTGTCTGGGTGCACTCTGCCCACCAGGTTGGGAGCTTTCACGATTTTCTGGTGCCCCAGCTCCCTGGCTGGCTGTACAGCGCCAAAGATCCCCTCCATGATACACAGCCTACTGCACCTTTCTCCCAGCCAGCCCTACCTGGCTTGTACCAGCAAACCCTACCCAGGGGTTAGGCCACCTAGAGGGAAGATCTGTCTACAGCAACTACAAACGCAAAGCATAGAGGCTAATACCTGTGCACTCGGCCCACTGGTTCAGGCAGTGGAGACAAGCATAGCAGTCGGGAAGCAGGAAACAGCTCTTTCCTCCCCCCAGGCACCAATACCACTCCCCTCAAACCCGACATTGCTTCAGAGGCTCAGCAGCTCCAGAGAGTAGAGCTTCTGGACACTAGAAAGCGCCATATACAAATATGAAATGCCAAAGGAACCTGGTTCAGAGTAAAATTAATATAACTCCTGAGAAAGATGACATGGACCTCATGAATCTTCCTGAAAGGGAGTTCAAAATAAAAATCATTAACAAGCTCATGGAGGTACGGAAAGATATTCAAGAACTCAGGAATGAATTCTCGTCAGAAATCCAACTGTTGAAGAGCACAATGGACGGTATTAAAAGCAGATTTGATATGGTGGAAGAGATGAAAAATGAAATAGAAACTACAGAAAAGGAATACAAAGAAGCTGAGGCACAGAGAGAAAAAAGGAACTCTAAGAATGAAAGAATATTGAGAGAACTGTGTGACCAATCCAAACAGAACAATATTTGCATTATAGGGGTACAAGAAGAAGAAGAGAGAGAAAAAGGGATAGAAAGTGTCTTTGAGGTGGTAATTGCTGAAAACCTCTCCAATCTGGGGAAGGAGATAGTCTCTCAGGCCATGGAGATCAACAGGTCTCCCATCACAAGGGACCCAAGGAAGACAACACCAAGACATATAGTAATTAAAATGACAAAGATCAGGGATAAGGACAGACTACTAAAAGCAGCCAGAGAGAGAAATAAGATCACATACAAAGGAAAGCCCATCAGGCTATCATCAGACTTCTCAGCAGAAATCTTACAGGCTAGAAGAGAGTGGCATGATGTATTTAATGCAATGAAGCAGAAGGGCCTCAAACCAAGATAACTTTATCCGGCAAGATTATCATTTAAACTTGAAGGAGGGATTAAACAACTTCCAGATAAGCAAAAGCTGAGAGAATTTACCTACCACAAACCATCTCTACAGTCTGTTTTGGAGGGACTGCTACAGATGGAAGTGTTCCTAAGGTTTAATAGCTGTCACCAGAGGTAATAAAACCACAATAAAGAAAGTAGAACAGCTAATTAATCAAATGCAAAATTAAATTAACTATCCCCAAAGTCAATCAAGGGATAGACAAAGAGTACAGAATATGATACCTACTACATAAAGAATGGAGGAGGAAGAAAAAGGAGGAGAAAAAGAAAAGAACCTTTAGATTGTATTTGCAATAGCATATTAAGTGAGTTAAGTTAGACTCTTAGATAGTAAGGAAGTTAACCTTGAACCTTTGGTAACCACAAATCTAAAGCCTGACCAAATAAAATCAGAGATCAGGAAAGAAGAAGAATTGATAGGCAGGCTTGCCTTATTGATAGGCAATAAGTACATACCTATCGATAATCACCATAAATGTAAATGGACTGAATGTACCAATCAAAAGACATAGAGTCACTGAATGCATAAAAAAACAAGACCCATCTATATGCTGCCTACAAGAGACTCACTTTAAACCCAAAGACATGCAAAGACTAAAAGTGAAAGGATGGAAATAGATACTTCATGCAACTAATAGAGAGAAAAAAGCAGGAGTTGTAGTACTTGTATCAGACAAAATAAACTTTAAAACAAAGAAAGTCACAAGAGACAAAGAAGGACATTACATAATGATAAAGGGATCAATCCAGGAAGAAGATATAACCATTATAAATATCTATGCACCCAACACAGGAGTATCTACATATGTGAAACAAATACTAACAGAATTAAAAGGGGAAATAGA